CCATTTGCAACAGCATGGATGGAACTGGAGAGCATTATGCTAAGTGAAATAAGCCAGTCAGAGAAAGATAAATATCACATGATCTCACTCATTTGTGGAATATAATGAACAACATAATAAACTGATGAACCAAAATTGAGCTAGAGGAAAAAAATATTTTAGAATAGAAGTAATCCTGTTTTTGCAGGTTTTTAATATTTCCTACAACTTTTGTGATATTATACAATGTTAGTGCAGTTTTGGTAATATTATATTTAAAATCTTTTTTCTTGAAAGATTGTTTATTGAATGTAACATTATTATATTTAAAATAGTTTTTGTTGAAATATTAATATTTATTGCATGTAACATTATTATACAAAAAAAAAGAAGCTATCAGGTAATAATTGGGGGTGTGCCCTGTTTGCTATACCTGTCTGGGGGGTATCTATAAAGGGCTCTGATAACCATTTCTTAATAAGCATTGAAAGTATGTTTTTCTTTCCTTGCCATATCCGTAGTGTGCACAGATAGGTATTGAGAAGTTCCTCCCCGCCGCACTGCTGCATTCCAATCCGGGAATGGGTTTGTGCAGTCCTGCAGGAAGGCATGGAAAGAGTGGGCCCTAAGTGCATGCCCCGGGCGAGCTCATCGACCCGCCAGGGGGCAGCAGAGATCCGGGCGCCGTACAACCTGAGGGGGCGGTGGAGGGACTGAATGGAGCAATGAGACTAAGAATGTAGAGATCGACCAAAGGACTTGTATGCATGCATATAAGCATAACCAATGGACACAGACACTGGGGGGTAGGGGAGGCCAGGGGATTGTCAAGGGCGGGGAAATAAAAGGAGAAACATGTAATACTCTTTGTAATAATTTAAGCAATAAAAAAAAAAAAAAAATAAAAGAATGTAGAGATCGGCATCGCGCTTCCAGCTTGCTTTATGGCTTTTGGCAGATTGCTTTGCGGCTCTTCTCCCCTTCCTATTTGATTTACGGCTTCTCCTCCTGTTCTTCCTGGCTCCGCCCTGGCCTTGCTCTCGATTAGGACCTTCTTCCCAGAGTTCCCTTGCACATCCTTCCCATACTCCTCTGCGCGGCTCTATCTAAACTCCCTTCCCCCTTCATTTAGCCTAGACCGAGCTCCCTGCGTGCACCGCGCGCTGCTGAGGCGCGTAAGTGGGGAGGAGGACGCCCAGGGGGTGGTTCCGGCCAGGGCTGTGGAGCTGGGGCGGCTCGAGTCCGAGTAGAGCACAGGGATCGGGCTGGAGCGCGAACTGCGGGTCCCAGGCATCGTCACCCTGAGTCCGAGGCCTGTAGTAACGTGCTGTAGGGGTTCAGGATTGCGGTTTCTGAGAGTTTGGTTAGGAGGGACAGGGGTACCGGAAACTTGCACCAGCTCACGTGGCGCAGCCCCAGGACCCCGCCCCGGGAGGGTGGCAGCCTCCTGCTCG